CTGGGATGACTGGTGCAATTCAAATTTCAGAACCGTTGGCAGCACCATAAATGGCCCAACAGCTATTTTTTTCAAATTCAAACAGAAATCCACCCTCTCCCTATATTATCATCATCCTTGCTCATCCAAACACACCATTTTCATCCAATTTTCAATCTCCTAAGCCTAATTCACTCTCCTTCTTCATCTTCTTGCCTCAACAATGGCCGGTGGAAAATCCAAGTCGAAGGCCTCCAAGAAGAAGGGCAACGCCGAAGCGACGACCTCAGCGCTCCCGCCGTTTCCCTACCTAGACGGCTCTTTCCTCGAGTTCGGGTCGGAGGAGGAGCTCACCCGGTTTCTCTCGCACTTCGCCAAGCGTCCTATTTCTCCGCCCAGGGTGCTGCCCGAGTTATACCCTCAACAAAAGGGGTACCACGACCTCGACAATCAACTCAAAGAGTCGGGTTTGTGGTCGTTCGTCTCCAGGAGCCGTCAGTCCTATAATCCCGCCTATGTCCGGGCCTTCTACTCCAATCTCCGCCGTGACGGGGACACCATTCGCAGTAGCATCAATCTCTATGACATAGAGATTGATTTGGCTACCTTCGCTCGGGTCGCAGGGCTGCCCACTCGCGGTGACGATATCGCAACGAGGCGGTGGTCATCCGAGAGCTTGGGATCACCAACCTCATCCGTCACACCGGCGCACCAACAATCCACTCAGCCCCGCCGGAGAAGCGTCTTCTTCTCTACATCCTCACCCGGATTCTTCGCCCCCGGGACGGTAGCCACACATGTCTCTTCAACGAGGATCTCAAGGCGGTTCATGCTATCACCCATGGCGCCTCGATCAATTGGGCAAAATACGTCATGATTCACATGGCGGATTGCGCCTCCATCGCCACTGAGAGGAGCTTGTCATACGCCTTCCTCTTCATGGACCTCATCATCTCCGCTGACATCTCCATCGCCGGCCCGGATACGAAGATGACAAAGATTTGGATAATTCAAGACAGCACCTTCCGGAAGAAGTCCGGAGACCGGGACGGCGCAGGCCCAAGTCGTGCACCAGCCCCCGCTCCCGCCAAGGCCTCTTTGCAATCCATAGCCGATACTCTGAACTGGCTAACCCTCACAGTGGATGGCATGGGGCAGTCAATCGAGCGGATGGACTGGACGCTGCACCGCCAACACCACGACATGACGGCGTTCTTCCGCGGCATCAACTACGTCCCGCCGCCCTTTGACAGCACCTTCCTCGGCCAAAAATATGAAGGCGAGGACGAGGAGGATAACTCCTATGCTCCATCCTCCTCCCCCGACGAGGCCGACTTTGAAGATGCGATCGACGGCGATCCCATGGACGTCGAGGACGACGAGGATGACGACGAGGACGCCGATGCTTAGACTTTTCTTTTCTCTTCTTACTATGATTGTATTTTTTTTATTTCCATTTCGTTGTATTCCGCATTTCCCTTTTTTCATTAATAAAAGTTTACTTTTACAGTTCTAAAGTTTACTTTTAATTCTTTTTGTTAATGTCAAAAGGGGGAAGATATTAAGGTTATGCATAAATTGAGGGGGAATTTCTTTTACTTTGTAAAATGGCATCTATTAAGGGGGAACATTTTTTACAAAATAATCCTCCTATGCATAACCTCGTCTCGTTTGCCATTATCAGAAAGGGGGAAATTGTTGAAACACGGGCTTGTCACGTTTTCGTACTAAAGCCGTGTTCGCTTTTGTAACAGGTTTTGATAATACCAAACCGCCGTGATCAAGTCGAACATTGAATATACAAGGCGAAGAACGAAGATAAGAGCAAGAGCTAAACGAAGACCAAGAACGAAGACTTTAGTCATAGTATTGAGTCGGTGTTTATTGTGATCAAGACCGACCCAATCTTTACACCTTGGCTCTTTAGGCTAAAATCTCTCATTGCATTTCTTACATCATAAAAATGTTTTTCAAACTTGTTTAAGTCATTAAAAACACTTGGTGTTCGCCGAAACCAAAAACCAAGCCATCCAGTGTTCGGCTTTAAGAAACCAGCGTTCGGCTTTCGGTTGTCGGGTTTGGTTTTTGGCATCCGAACCAACCAAGTGGTTTTCAGCATTTTATGATCTTCTTTCACTCTTTGGCTTGTTTAAACGGTTCTCCAACAAAAACACTTTGAAAACCATCTCTTGTTTTTAGTCGTTTGACAAAAACCACGCAAAACGGCGTAAACTTGGCTAGCCGTGGTTTTTAATCAAATGAAGTGATTTTTAAAGTGTCTCACTTGATTTCTTAGGAAAATACATCAAATAAGTGTTTTAAACACTTGGTTTTTATTTTGGAGAACCTTGGATTTTTCGGTCGGTTTTTGCATCGGTTGGCTAGGCCGTGGTTAAGGCAAAAACCATAGGTTTTTGGCTAACCACCCACCCAGCGATGGGAAGAACATCCCATCGATGGGTAAGTAGCCCCTTAGCCAAACCAACTTCCAGAACCATGTCAAACAGCGATGGGAAGCTCTACCCATCGCTGTTCAAGCCTTGGTCCAACATTATCACAAGGCAGAATGCCCTTACCCAGCGATGGGAAGCTTTACCCATCGATGGGAACCCAGCGATGGGAAGGCTAAACCATCGATGGGAAGGCATGACCGTTGGAAGTCATTTAAGGTTGATTCTTTCCTTGTTTGGAAGTCAACCTCCCACCCAGCGATGGGAAGCTTGTACCCATCGATGGGTAGGTAACCGTTGGCTTCAAAACTGAAGGAAAATTGGCTTACCAGCGATGGGTAAGTTCCAAACATCGATGGGAAGCCAATATCCTGCAGATCCCAAATTTATTCAATCCCTTAAATCAAGCCAATCACCCCTTTAATGCATTGGTCCGTTGGAGCCTATTTTGGCACTATAAAAAGGGGTGTTTGGGTCTGCTTTTCTCATCAATTCNCATGCCAAACAGCGATGGGAAGCTCTACCCATCGCTGTTCAAGCCTTGGTCCAACATTATCACAAGGCAGAATGCCCTTACCCAGCGATGGGAAGCTTTACCCATCGATGGGAACCCAGCGATGGGAAGGCTAAACCATCGATGGGAAGGCATGACCGTTGGAAGTCATTTAAGGTTGATTCTTTCCTTGTTTGGAAGTCAACCTCCCACCCAGCGTTGGGAAGCTTGTACCCATCGATGGGTAGGTAACCGTTGGCTTCAAAACTGAAGGAAAATTGGCTTACCAGTGATGGGTAAGTTCCAAACATCGATGGGAAGCCAATATCCTGCAGATCCCAAATTTATTCAATCCCTTAAATCAAACCAATCGCCCCTTTAATGCATTGGTCCGTTGGAGCCAATTTTGGCCCTATAAAAAGGGGTGTTTGGGTCTGCTTTTCTCATCAATTCACTTCACAATATTCATATCATCATTGTATTAAAATAACATCATTTTTTCATAGCTTTCTAGAGCCAATTTGTGAAGTTTGAGTTGTTCTTGAGCGTATAAAGTTTACTCAACATCTACTCTAAAAGAGAGCCTTGTTCTTGAGTGTCTTAGTGTTGTAAACACGTTTAGGGATGCTTGTTTTTCTTGGTTGTACGAAGGAAAGGTATTTTTCCTTCGGGTTGAAGTCTTGGAGTGCGGTATCTCCGAGCAAGTGTTGTTGATGCTCGTGGGACTCGAGTTCTCAGGTTGTAACAGTTTGTTAAGCACCCGTAAGCTTAACGGAAGTAGTGTAGCTCGAGAGAGTCTCTCGGGAGGCTGGATTAGCCACAAGTTGTGGTGAACCAGGTTAAATCTTCGTGTGCTCCCTTTACGCTTTCAACGCTCTTTATCTTTCACGTTCTTAATTTTTTATTCCTGCGATTTCTACGATCAAACGCTATTCACCCCCCCTCTAGCGTTGGTCACTTATTCTAACACACAAGCCCTCATGATGAAAACCCGATGGATCCCGCAGGTTCCTGGACGGGCCCACGGAAGAGGCGCATTGGGCCTGACCCCTCGCCGTGGTATGCAACGTATGCCATGGTCCTAAACATGCATCTAGGATATATATGATGATATGAATGCATGGGTTGGAGAGTGAAATTATATTCAACGCATGCAAATTTATTCGGTTCCATATGTAAACAACTTGTTCAACATGGCGGACCTGGGTTCAGAACTAGCCGATAATCGATTAACCACATCTGATAATCGATTATCATGTTACGCAGTTCCTGTTCCCAAGTTCCGCAAGCCATGATAATCGATTGTCTCCTCATGACAATCGATTATAGGTATGTGATAATCGATTGTCAAAAGAACCAGCCCAGACTTGAGATTCCGCAGGACCCAATAATCGATTTTCAGCAAGGTGATAATCGATTATCACGTCTTGCTGAAAAAAACTGAGGAGTTCAGCGCGACCTACTAATCAATTGTCAGATTCTGTAAATCGATTGTTAAGGCACGCTGGTTCCTATTTTTGCCTGTTGGATTTTCATTAAGACGTTGAGGGTTTTAGAAATGAACGTTTATGTTTCCAGCTTATGTATTGATGAGTTTGCAACGTTTTGTAACGTTTATACTAACAAGTGTGTAATCGAAAGGCCTAATAACCGAAACGTCATGACGAGGTGGGTGCACGTAGGTTTAGCCGGTAATCCTATGAATATAACGATACGGTTACACTCTGAATTCTAAAGTTAGAGGGCAACGTACTCACCTCTAAACGCAGAGGTTTACGATAACGGTAACGGATGAATGAACGGCTAACGAACGGACAACGAACGACGAACGGATGGCTTCTCGCGTAGCCCTTCTTTCCTTCTCCCTTCTTCTTCTCCTTCTCGCCGGAAACTACCTCGCTTGGCTGCTATGAACTGGCCAAAAATGCAAGGGGAAGAGGGAGAGGGTGTGTGAATGCCTTGGGAGTTACAAAATGCTAAGGAAAGGGATTGGAATGGGTTTAAATTGAAAGAGAAGAGTAATGGGGATTTATGAGAGATAAATGGAGAAAATAATGATGGGGGGTTATGGAAAATGAGGAGTGTAGTGGCGTGTGGTTTGAATGGGAGTTATCTCCCTAAATTCCACTCTTTTGTATAAAATCTTACCTGATCGGTACGCGGTATTTTCCCCGAAAGGGTCCGAATTGAGATCCGTTTACGTTTCTGGAATCAGACAGTCAAAACGAATATTATGACATAATCAAATAATTTCTTTCTAAGGATTTTATTTTCCAAACCCCGGTCCGAGTTAGTAATTAATTAATTAGATTAATCAATTCTAATAGACCGGGTCGCAGGGCGTTATAGTTATCCACCCCTTAAGAAAATTTTGTCCTCGAAATTTACCTGATCACTGGTCACTGAAAAGATGGGGATAACGGGTGCGCATGGATTCCTCCGTTTCCCATGTCGCCTCCTCAACGGTGTGACTTCTCCACAGAACCTTGACCAACGGAATGGTTTTGTTCCTCAACTGACGGATCTCCCGAGCCAAAATCTCAACCGGCTCTTCCTCATATGTAAGGTTCTCGTCGAGAGTGACCGTATCCGCTGGGATCACGTGTGAAGGGTCTGACCGGTACCTTCGGAGCATAGACACGTGGAATACATTATGAATCCTGCTCAACTCAGATGGTAATTCGAGCCTGTAGGCTACAGGTCCCACACGTTCAGTGATTGGGTATGGGCCTATAAACCTCGGACTAAGTTTTCCCTTCTTGCCGAAACGCAAAACATTCTTCCAAGGAGATACCTTCAAGAAAACCTTATCTCCCACCGTATACTCAATATCGCGTCTCTTAAGGTCGGCGTTGGACTTTTGTCGGTCCGATGCCACCTTATGCCGGTCCTTAATTACTTGGACCTTCTCCTCGGTTTCACGAACTAGATCTGGCCCTTCCAACTTCCTCTCGCTGAGCTCCGTCCAGCAAGTAGGGGTCCGGCACAGCCTACCGTACAAAGGCTCGTACGGTGCCATACCGATGCTAGCCTGGTAGCTGTTGTTGTATGCGAACTCCATCAACGGTAAATATCGCTCCCAACCATCCCCGAAGTCGATCGCACAGGCGCGCATCATATCCTCCAGGATCTGGATAACCCTCTCGGACTGACTGTCCGTCTGTGGGTGGAAGGCCGTACTGAAGTGAAGATCGGAGCCCAAGGCTTTCTGTAGGCTCTTCTAGAACTGTGACGTGAAACGCGGGTCACGGTCCGAAATGATAGATGAGGGAACTCCATGTAACCGGATGATCTCGCGGATGTATAGTTCTTCCAGACGCTGTAAAGAGAAATCTTGTCGTATTAGAAGGAAATGGGCGGACTTAGTCAAACGGTCCACAATGACCCAAACTGTATCGTTCTTGCGAGGCGACAAAGGTAGCCCCACCACAAAGTCCATGGTGATACGATCCCACTTCCACTCGGGAATCGTAATCTACTGAAGTAGTCCGCTCGGTACCTGGTGCTCAGCCTTAACCTGCTGGCATGTCAAGCATCGTGCTGTAAACTCTGTGATCTCTCTCTTCATCCCAGGCCACCAGTAATGCTTCCGGAGATCCTGGAACATCTTGTAACTACCGGGGTGCATGGTATATACCGTACCATGTGC